AAACTATTGTCTGTAGCAAGTAGTATTTTTAACAAAAATTGTTTGTAACAACCATTGTCTTACAAACAGCATTTACAGCATTGTTTGTAATAATCATTGTCTGTAACTAAACAGCATTTGTACCAAATATTTTCTGCAACAAGAAGTGTTTCTAACAACAATTGTCTGTAACTATTATTATTTTTAACAACCATTGACTAAAGCAAACATCGTTTGTATAGCATCTACTTTCTGCAGCAAACAGTATTTTTAACAAGAATTGTTTGTAACAACCATTGTCTTATAAAACCAACAACCATTGTCTTAGCATTTACAGCCTTGTTTGTATAATAATCATTGTCTGCAACGAACAGCATTTGTACCAAATATTTATTTTCTGCAACAACAAGTGTTTCTAACAACAATTATCTGCAACAAACAGCATTTGTGCCTAATATCTTCTGCAACAACAAGTGTTTCTAACAACAATTGTCTGCAACAAACAGCATGTACCAAATATTTTCTGCAATAACAAATGCTTCTAACAACAATTGTCTGCAACAATCACTATTTTTAAGAACCATTGTCTAAAGAAAATATCGTTTGTAGCAATTATTATCTGCATAACGACCATCATCAGTGTTTGTAAGCTGAACCAATAATTGTTTGTAACAACCACTATTTATAACATTTCAAAGGTTAAAAATTCCATCATTAATTGTTAGTATCAAGCAGTTTGTAAAGCATTAAAAGTAACAACTGGATAAGTCCAACAAGTAGTGAATAACAACAATAATAATTGTTTGAAAACAGACATTAACTATTTCTATTAGTTAAAAACAATTTTTTTTGTTTATTGCTGCTACTGCAGAATGTTAGATGATTACAATTGTCATTCCTATTGGTTAAAAACAATGGTTATTTTTGTTTGTTGCAGCTGTTGCAAAATGTTTGAACCATTAAACGTGACTGTAAGAAACTGCATAACATAAATGCAATAACCATTTAAATATACCAAACAACCATTTAAATATACCAAACATACCAACATCATGCTTTAAGCAAGACATTAAAAATACGATCATAAAAAAGATATCCATCGAAATTATTGTATACACTGACTCGAATAAATTCGTATTAAAGATTTAATGTCTCCATTGTGACCCCAAGGGCCGTCAGCGCCGCAAACTGAACTTGATTAGGTTAATCTAAGGGGCCCAGATTTCTTTGCTTCCGCCTCTTAAATTCAATTAATCAATTGTATTCTTCCTTCTGGCAATGGATTTTTCTCATTTCTTCTAAGAAACCAACCGAACATTTTTAATAACTATTACAATTGATGATACTTACAATTTACAATTCAGTGACTGTAACAAGAATAGTTTACAATAAGTTATACTATTCCTGAAAATTATAATTTATTCCGTATTGAAAAAAATGGTGTAAATCCATTACGAAAAATGGTACACTTTGTTGTATCTAAACAATTGGTGTTTGGATGGTTATTGGGTATAACATTTGCAACCATTTGTACCAATCGAAACTTTTTTTTCTTCTGCTAACTGTTAACTACCAATTTATAATTGCAATTTTAATGCTTTTAATGTTCTGCTATCTGTTAACTGCCAATTGCCAATAGTTGATTAACTTTTAATTACAACTAGTAATTTTAATGTTAATTTCAATTTTTTTTTTGGTTCTGCAAACTGTCAATTCGCAATTGCTAACTAACTTTTAATAGCAATTTAATTAGCTAACAGTTTGCAGAGCAAAAAAAATTGTAATTATAATTACAATTTTTTTTGCTCTGCAAACTGTTAGCTACCAATCATTAATTAACTTTTAATTTTTAACTGCAATTTTAATGCTAAACAATTGTGTTTAGCACAATCTTTGTGTTCTACTAACTGTTAGCTGCAAATTGCTAATTGTTGACTTCTAATTAATTTTTAAATGCAATTAGCAATTTTAGTGCCATTTACAATTAATTTTTGTTCTTTAACTATTCCTAATGGCAACTTCCATCAACATTTGAAACTTTTTGAATTTAATAATTTAAAATTCCTTTTCTTTCTTTTCTTTTCTTTTTTTTTTTTTTTGTAAAAAAAGAAAATCTCGGACAAGGACTCGACTTTGCGTGACAAGAAATATTTGCGTGACTTGAATATTAATAATAAATTGTGAGAGAGAAAAAAAAAGAAGAAAGAAAATACTTTCTATTTCTTGAAATATAAATATATATAAATTTTTATCGTGAAAAAATGTACTTATCGCGTAAATATGAGAAGGTGATATTAGAGATACATATCTTTTTTTTTCTCTAACACTATATTTATAATCTATATAAAATTTTACTTTTGCTATTTAAGAGAGACGATATTATACATAGCGGCACATATGTGAGACGAAAAATACTTTTCTTCCGCAATGGTAGATGAATTATTTTTAATTTTTTTTTTTAAACTTGTACAGCTCGCACCCTGTTGAACGAGTTGTGACTATGAGCTATATCAATGACTCGGGTGTTCTCGATGTTTTATAACAACATCTCGTCATTCTTGTTTAACCAATATCTCTGATAACTTGCCTCCATGCTCGATATATATGTGTACCAGTCGAGGCATCTTTTTTTTCCAATTACAGGTAATTTGCATCTTGAATCTTCTTCACTCACCGCACATTTAACTTTGCCAATAACCGTTAACTTAATCTCTCCACTAGTGTTTTTTTTCTCTTCTTAATTTTTTTAATCGTTTCTTCTTATTTTTGTTTACTTTTATTTTTAATTTAATTTTTATTTATTTTAATTTTTTTTTAAAGTTTATTTATTTTATTTTTTTTAATTTTCATCTATTTTAAATTTTCATTTATTCAAATTTTCATTATTCAAATTTTCATTTATTTAAATTTTTTAATTTTAACTTTATTTTGCCATTCATTACATAATGAACTTGATATTATTTTTAATTTTATTTTTATTTTGTTATTCATTACAATCAAATTATGCTATTTTTTAACTTTTAATTAGAGAAAAAAAATTAATCATTCTTTTAGTGATAAATACATTTATCTCTCGATAAATAAACTTTCACAATAAAATTAGATTTCTTGATAAATTAAAGTTCATTTTGGGTCCTTAGAAAAAATTTTGATATTAAAAATATTCGATAAATGAAACATTCGTTAATTTTATTTTTTTATGTGAATTAAATACTCTAAATGGTTTTTGTCGTCAATAACTTTATATTTATAAATAATAAATTAATTTTATTTTATTTAATTTTATTATATTTAGGTATATAATTTATAGAATGTAAATATAAATATTATAAATAGATTTTTATAATTTTAATTAACTAATAATTTTTAGTTTAATGACATTAGGAAAATAAAAATTAATTTGGCAATAAAATATTAATATTTGTAACCGAAATTTTTAATAATAGAAGAAAATGTTTTCTAATAAAGTTAACGTTCGAATGAATAAACGAAATATTTTCTCTGCTCTAATTCTAAAAAAATAAAAAAAATAAGTTTTCGAAAAAAATTACTCGACTGAAATTAAAAATATTGTAATTGAACATTTATTTAATATTGAAAAGTAAACTTTTAATTTTAAAACACAAAATTTTTGGAAAAAATAATGAAAGTAGTTAAATTACATTTAAAGTTATCAAAAAATAATTAAATTAAAGGAAGTAATAAAAATATAGTCGCTTTCAATTGAACATTCGAAAATTTCGATACAGGAAATAAAGAAAATTAAAAAAATTTTCTAAAGATTTTTTAAAATTATTTTTTAAACATTTTTTTCCAAATTTACAACTGGGGTAAATTTTATCAAGCAACATGACTTTATATAATTTATACCTTTTGAAATAATCTTTTATATTTTTGGAATTGAAATAATTATTCGCTTTTTTTTCCTTACCTCGAGTATAACGTTTAATTATACGTTTAGGTCATTAATTGTATAGAGGAAAAGAGTGATTCAATAAGTGTGCGCCAAGTCATTTGACAGCGCTTTCATTTCACTATAAAATATAATTATTATTGCGCACAAAAGTGTCGCGACAAGACCTGTACTTTAATTTTTAATTTCCTTTTTAGTATGAAACGGTCATTTTTTTTTTTTTTTTTTTGAATATATAGTTGACAGCTAAATTTAATTGGACTATGAATTTCTTTATCAGCCAGAATATCAAGTCCGTTTATAAGAAATAATAAAACAGTAATAAAAAGTACTAAATTAAAATTATAAATCGTAATGAATAAAGTTTTTTTTAAAAAAAGTAATAAAATAATAAATAAATTATTGGAAAAATAAAAAAAAATTATCTGAAAAATAACTAATTAAAAAACTTCGTTAATTAAGAAAAATACATTAATTAAAATGTAATAAATTAAATATCTAAAAAAAAATAATACAGAAATGAATTAATTAAACTATAATTAAATGAATTAATTGTAAATTAATTAATAAAATTAATTGAATTTATTATTCAAAAATTCAATTAATTTTAAATATTTAATAAAATTAACAATTAATAATTTTTATTTTTAATTATAATTTACATAATTACAAAAATGAAACTTAATTATGCAATTATTATTTAAAAATTGTCTATTTAACAAATATTTCACTTACGCGCGATAGTTTCTCGTGATTGATAAATGCGGTAATGTTTACATTATAAAATAAAAAAAAAAATTTATAACCAATGAGGGTATTCTGATAAAAGATATTACTGGGATTTACACACTGCTTTCTAAAAATTTCCTCACTTGTTTGCATATTAACGCAGAAGTCGATTTGACGAGACATTGAGAGACAGAGAGAGAAAATTTTTTTATTTTTATCACACACCCACTTGTGTGGGACAATACCGAGGACACTATACAAGGAAAAAAGTGCAGGAATATATAATAGCAAAAATGTGTGCATTATTAACAAAGTAAACAATTAGTTGATAAGATAAACAGAAAAGGGAATTCTGAGAAAATTAATCATTAGCTCCGGTATAAAAACAAATGTTTAAACTCGGGGAGAACCATTTACAATCTGTCATTAAGACTTTGAGTGAAATAAAAAAAAAAAAAATTAACTAAATAAATAAAAACATGAAGTGCATTCTTTTGTGCTGTGTTCTCGCTTTTTGTGCCTTGCAAGTAAGTTTTGGAAAATTTATTTTTATTTTTAAGTTTTTACTTCTTTTTTCAAACTGTTTCTGATTGAATCTTTTAGTTAGGTTATTAAGTAATTAATTAGAATTAATTACGTATTAAAATTAAAACTTATTAAAATTTAGAATTGTATTTGAAAATTGGAACTAATTTAGTTAATATTGTTAAAGTAATTATCTAACTAAATATTATTTAGCAATTAATTGATTAGTTAATATTAATTAATTATTTATTAACAAGTAATTAGTTACTAAAAATTGGTTAATATAAACTAATTAGTTAATAATAATTTATTGGTCCATATTAAGTATTAACTAATTCTTAACTAATTAACTAATTTAATTCATAAAATAATTATAATTAAATTAGTATTACTATTACTAAATACTAGCGTCATATTCATATTTAGCAAGTAATTGATTAGTTAATATTATTTAATTATTTATTATTAACTGCTTAACTAATTAGTTCATACTTTATTGATTTATATTGTTTGGTTTATCAGGTTTATATTAACTAATTAGTTAATATTAATTAATTATTAATTAATTATTTATTTATTTAAAAAAATTTTTATTTATTTTATTTATTAATAAATAAATTATAATTAAATTACTTTATGGATTTCTTTAGAAAACGTTTTTAATAAAATAAACTATTATTATGATAATAAAAATTTACAATAACTATTATTTATCATAATTCAAATATTTATTAAATTAATAAAATAATAATAAATTGTTTCTTTTTTTTTCATAGACAAGTTCCGCAGACAGATTGATGGACCAACTGTGGAAATTGCAATTTCGTGCAATGGAGGAAATAAACGCTATTACAAATCCAATTATGTCTCAAATTCGGGTAAAGAAAATAATATTTAAACATTTATTAATAAATTAAAATTTTTACATTTAATTTAATTCATTTAATTTTATTTAGTTTTATTTAAATTAATTTTAATTAATATTAAAAAAAAGAATATAAATTAATTTTTGCAAATAAATTTTATAAACTTTTGTTCTGAAATTATTTTTGTTTAACTTTAATTATTAATTATAATAATAATTATGACAATAACAATAATTTATTTATTACTCTTAGGGAGACGTTGAAACTGCAAAATCAAGTGGAAAAAATGCTGAACCTTGCTATGAGAGAGGAAGACTCTTAATGAAATCATATGTTGATCCAAGTTTCTCTGGATTGAGAAAATGTCGAACTGATGCCCATGCAGCCAACAGCGTTTCGGTAAAAAATTATTCTTATTAATTAATTAGTTTAAAAAAAAATTATAAAATTTACTTCTATAAATATTTTTTTAATGTAAAATTTATAATTATTTAAACAATCGAAATTAATTTTTGTGCTCTGTTGATTAATTAATTATTATTAATTAATGTATTTAACTAATTATTCTAATTAGGAAATTAATGTATTTAATTAATTATTTTAATTAGAAAATTAATAAATTAATATATTTAATTAATTATTTTAATTAGAAAATTAATGTAAAAACTTGATTATTATACATTATTTTTTGATTCATTATATCATATTTTTTTAATTAATGTAGTAACATTATAATTACACACATTATAATAATATTATAATTAGTTCAGCAATCTAATGAATTAATTATTATAATTAGTTAATCAACATAATATATTAATTACTATAAATAATTTCATTAATGCAACAACTTAATTATTCGACCCAGAAAAAAAATATTTTACACAGAGCCCACTAAAAATGTTAATTTGTTTAAAATAAATAATAAGAAATAAAAATAAATAAATAATAAATAAATAATAATAAAAAATAAATAAAATTTTGAATAATAAAAATTATTTTCTATTTTCTTAACAGTTGGCAATATCCTGCAACAATAATATTGTCTCTCTTTTCCGTTCAAATGCACAAACAGTGCGTCCAGTCTCCACTTCATGCATTGCGAGTCTCTAAAAAATTTATTAATTCACATTTAATAAATTACAAAACTGTTTTTAAAATGATTTCTCCACTTGATTTTTGTAAAATGTACACTCTGTAGTATTAATATTGTATTAAGTATTAATATTGTAAAAAATACTTTATTAAAATAATTTTTGATTTTATAAAATTTTTTGTTCTGATTGTTTATTAATTTTATGATTATGAAATTTTTTTTTCCTATTTTTCTAAAACGAAAATATTGGGGACTATACATATGAGAAGAAAAATTCTTGGCTATAATTTTATTCTTTTTTCTAAAAAAGAGAAAAATTAGGAATAAAAGGAGAAAATTATTAATTATAATAATTAGTACTAATTAGTAAATAAATAATTAATCATAATAATTAATTCTTTCTTTTTTTCTAAAAGGGAAAAAAAATTTTCTCTATAAAAAAAATCTAGGAAAAATACATGAAAGGAAAGAAATTGTTGTCAATAATATAAAAAATCAATTTTCAACAAAATTAATGAAAAAATGATGTGTATTAAAATCAGATTCAGTACATGGATATATATTTCGATGACAATGATTGTGATAATGAAGGCACAAGAATTACGTAAATTTGTTTGTCGACGAAGAATATAGAAAAACAAAAAAAAAAAAATATTTTCGTTCATAAATTTTCATCGACGTTAATTTATCACATTTTTCGATTTTTCTATTTTTTCATTTCATTATAAATATATTTAAGTGAAAAAAAATTTCCTGACGTTTTTTTTAAACTTGTCAAAAATTTTTTTGGTATTATCTCAAAATTTTATACGCAGATTATTTTTAAAAAATTTTTAATTTCTATTTTTTTCAAAGATTGTGTTATTTTTAACGCTACAATTACAGCCGTAAACATTTTTTTGTTTTTTTATAAAAAAAAATATGAATTTATTATTCAATAATAAATCCCAGATGGAAGTTTTTTTTCATATATACTCTTCTATAGAGAGAAAAGTGAAGGATTAATTAAATACAATATCCATTTTTCTTTTTTTTTACCTGAATCACATATTGTGTTTAAATTATAATGAACAAAATAAATTCGAATCATTCTCGTGAGTGATTTAACAATGTGACTTGGAAACAAAAAATGATTCTTTTAATTTTTATTTCTTATTATTATAATAATTCTACGGCGACAAGAAAAATAAATTCGCTATTTATAATTATTGTATCGAATGAAGCCATTTTTGTCGAGATAAAAATTATTTAAAATTTGGCTGTGAATTATTTCTATATTCTCAATTATTTGAACACTATTTTTTTATTACTATATAACATCGCGCTTTTTTCAGTCAAAAAAATAAAATAAAAATAAAATAAAAGCAGACTTACATTTCTTTTTCGCAAAAATGAAAAATCGATTTCGACAATTTTCTTTATCGATTTTTCAATTATGAAAGTTTGCCAAAAATTCATATTGTATTTTAGGTGTTGAAGTTTTAAAAATAATTTTACTTTTTATTAATTTTTTCTTTACTTATTTTTATGTATTTTTATATTTTATTGTACTTTTTTATTTTGTTGTAATTTTTCATATATTGTATTTTTTATTTTATTCTATTTTAAGTACCAGAAGATTAAAATAAAAAGGGGCTAAAAATAAAAATTTTCTATTCAAAATTTAAGCGTAAAAATTTACTTAATTAAAAATAAAGTTTTATCTATGATTAAGTACTGTTGTTTCTAAATTGAAGTACAAATTTTATGATTAAATTAATCAAACTTGAAATTTTTGCAAAAAAATTTCTTAATTTAAGAAAAATTAGAATAAAAAGAAATCGTTTTGAGTAAAAAAAGTTTTTTTTAAATGAACGAATATAAAAAAATGTCCATAAAAATTCTGAATGTTCAAATAGGAGAATTATTTTTCAAAAATTACTTGACAATAAAAAAAAAAAAGAAAATTAAACATTGAAATATTCATTTGAAATGTTTAATTAATTTAAAATTTATTATTAACGATTTTCACGGAATTATAAATTAAAACTGCAAAAATAACAGAAAATTTTTTAGTGTTTATTTCTTTTTCTTCACAAACTTTTTTTGGAGTAAAAATTTTAACTCCGAATTTCATAAAATTATTTTCTTTTTCCCTAAAAAGCAAAAATAGTTTCAGACAAATTGAATTTTTGGCAAACAAAAAAAAAAGACAGAGATAAGAAATTGAACATCCTATCTAATTACGAAATTATATCAAATAATCATTTAATTTAATCCATTTAGTTATAAATTTTATCAAATGATTTTATCTTTGAAAATTCTAATTACGAATTTATATCAAATGATCATTTAATTTAATTCACTTAATTCTAATTTGTATTAAATGATTTTATCAAATTATAAAAATTTTTTCCCTGAATTTGATAAATTTTTTTTTTTTCCTAAAAAACGATAATTGAAAAAAGAGAAAAAATAGTTGCAGACAAATTGAATTTTTGGCAAACGGAAAAAAGACAGAGTTTAAAAAACAACGAAATTTTATTAAATGATCATTTAATTTCAATTTTCATCAAATGATTTTATCAAATGATAAAATTTTCTTCCCTGAATTTTACGAGTAAAATTATTTTTTCGCCCTAAAAACAATAATCGAAAAACGAGGAAAAACATTTCTAGATAAATTGAATTTTTTTTATCAAATGATCAAATTTTCTTCCACGAATTTTACAAATTAAGTAAAAATAATTTTTTTCTCCTCCTTGAAAATTCTGTCTAATTGCGAAATTAAATCAAACGATCAATTAATTTAATTTATTTAATTCTGTTTTTTATCAAATGATTTTATCAAATTATCAAATTTTCTTCCCTGAATTTTACAAGTAAAATTATTTTTTTTACCCTAAAAAACAATAATCGAAAAAAGAGGAAAAACATTTCCAGATAAATTGAATTTTTTTATTAAATGATTAAATTTTCCTCTTCCGAATTTTACAAATTAATTAAAAATTTTTTCTCCTCATTGAAAATTCTGTCTAATTACGAAATTATATCAAATGATCATTTAATTCTAATTTTTATCAAATGATTTTTATCAAATCATCAAATTTTTTCCCCCGAATTTTACAGATTAAGTTAAAATAAATTTTTTCCTCTAAAAATAATCGAAACAAGAGGAAAAATATACGAAATTGAATTTTTGGCAAACGGTAAAAAAGAGAGATAAGAAATTGAACATCCTATCTAATTACGAAATTTTATTAAATGATCATTTAATTTAATCCATTTAATTCCAATTTTCATCAAATGATTTTATCAAATGATCAAATTTTCCTCTCCCGAATTTTACAAAATTAAGTAAAAAAATAATTTTCCCCTCCTCTCAAAATAATCGAATCGAGAGAGAAGCAAATTTAAAAATTTCTCAAAAACAAACAGAGAGAGAAGAATTTTATTGAAAATTCTAACTAATTACGAACTTATCAAATGATATCAATTATATTATCAAATGATCATTAATAAATCATTAATGATTTATCATTAATGATAATGACAATCAAAAAAACAATCTGGCAGTGATAATAAAATTTCAGCCTCTAAACATTGTGCAATAAATGATATTTAGTCTTACAAAGTTTTTCCAAACGTGCAATTCCCTGCTCTCGATTATCCGCATATTTCGCCTCCCAAGCATCAAACAACATATTATAATATCTCGGCGTTTCGAAATAATGAAAATACTCATGGCTAGTGGGCGTTGGAAAAATTTTCTCAAATCTATCCAATTGCGTTAATTCATCCTCATAACTAATCAAATGCCTCACATCGTCCGGCGTTAAATCATCAATAATCTCATCTAAATAATCATCACGCTCCTGAGTATTAACATACTGATACTGTTTCTGCCTCTCCAGAAAACTCAATTGCATTCGATGTAGACGATAATCCTGACATACCGGATCGAATTGATAACGTTTCGCAAGATTTTCAATTTCACTTTGTCCCAAACACACGGGCAATTGATAACCGACGATATTGAAGACATTACGGATTAGAGGACCCTTGACTGCGACGTCTAATGGCGAGGCCGATTGTAACGATGGGGAAATATTCACTTCTAATAGCCAGGGTTTTAGATTTTCGTCCAAGAGGATATCGACTCCGAATAGCTCGTAGCAATTGTAACGGGAATTGACATTGGATTTGGTGAAACTGTTTATTGACGATTCGCCTGCTATCATTGTCTTTATCACCATTTCCTTCATTGTTGACCAGAGTTTTTCGACGTTCACCTGTCGTTTCTCGAGATAGGTCCAGAGGGTCTTGATGGTCCACTTGTGACCGGAGCACGAATCGGGACTGTCGTTGTTGGTGTAGGAAGCGCTTGATTTATTGATACTGTAATTGGTGAGGTGCATGAAACGATCGCTGAGGTAGTTGATGTCGTCGCTGTATTTGACGGAGGCGAAGCGAACGAGACCGTTTGGATAGAGGTAGATGCGAAGTGGATTGAAACTAGTGACGAGAACGTAGAGACGAAGATCGAACTTGGCACCGTCTATAAGCATCGGTTTCGCAATGTACTGCTGAACGATAATTGGTCGCTTCTTCGGTATTTGGGACCATTTATTAACAACACGAATACCAGTGCCACGAGCTGACGCCGGTGGTTTTATTATCCATTTTTCCTTGTTGCCCTGCTTCTCCCAGATTTGACGAAAACTCCTCAGATCCTGCGGTAGCACATAGGTTCTTGGAATAAAATCGAATTCCTTCTTTCCGTATTTGATCATCATTCGATTGAAATTACGCCACAAACGATCCTTGCGGCCTATTTGAAAAGTGCCCGGGAAATGATTTATCTTTTGGGATTCTTTGATGCTTTTGAATGATATTGAGGTCATGTGTTTGCCCCAGGTGCCGCACCAGTCTTGGGATTTTTTGAGAAGACGGTAGCCGGAATTGACGAGTGTTCTGCGGACTAGTTGGGGTGTGATGACGCTGAGTCGCCATTTGAGGTGTTTCGTCACTTCGTGGGGGAGATTTGAGCCGTTGCATTCGTAGGATTGAAAGGCAATGTAGGGAGGCACGTTGGGGAAGAGGCTCTTGCGAAATGGAAGTGTTGCGGATGATTCGCCTGTTTGGGAATTCTCGCTGATTGTGCAGAGTGAACCCTCGTCGTAGGAGGCGAGGTCCTCTTGATCCTCGTCGGTTTGCGACTCGAGTTCGGCCTCATCGTCGATCGAATTCACGCGAACGAGCTCTTGATGATTGTAGGTGAGAACGTCCATAACAATTATTGAGTAAAGTTGATCTGAAAATTAGGCGATCGTTAATCATTTTAATCATTAAGCAAATCTCTAGAGAAAATCCTTAAGGAACAATCGAGGATCTTGACAAAGCTTCGCACTCATCTACTAAAACCTACTATTTACTAATTTTTTCACGTTATGCTACTATTTAGGTACTTTTTTTAGATTTCAGCCACTAAAAGCTATTATTTCTGTTTCTTGTTGTTGAGAATTTACACTACTTTAAGTTTAAATTTGCTAATACTATAAATCAGAAAAGTATTCTAAAAAATTATAATCAAGTTCTTTAAGGAGACCTGCACCTGCATTTAAACTATATTTAAAACATAATTCAAACCTGACTGTAACTTTGGATAAAATTAAAAATTCATAAAACCCGTACCCTTAAATGTAAAAAAAAACTGTAAGAAAGTCAATGAAACAAGAATAATAAAAAAATATTGAAATTTGTGAAAGAAGAATAAGCATTTTTTATAGTGAATTAAAATTAGTAAATTAGTAATTTAAAAACACTGTAACTTTTAATAAAATTAAAACTTCATAATCGTATTAAGTATACACTTAATATGCATAAAGCTTCAATATAGTTAAATAACCTTTCATTTTTATAATTATAATTTCAATGCTTTACATAAATATTTTAATTTTATCAAAAGTTACAATGTCAAAATTTTCAGAAAAACTCTTTCAAAAATTTTTGAATTATGTTCTTATACAGTTGAAAATTCAGGTGCAGGTCCCCTTAAAAAGATTCAATTATTTTCAAAAAATATTTGAAATTCAATTACTTTCGATATCTAGGGGAGAGTGGGGCAAAATGGGGTAGGCGGGTCAAATGAGGTACCTCTGTTTTTCCATGATAGGTACTTTTAATTTTTTTTCCCTCGACATATATCATTCATGTTGATAAGAAACTGTTATTAATTATGAAGACACTCCAAAAAAATTTTTTTTTTGAAAGTTATACAACTTTTAAGTTTTAAGCAAAAAAAATATGAATTTTTTTCAAAATTAAAGTGCTCTCCAAACTTTTTGGGATAATGCATTTAATTTGGCAAGTGTGGGATCTTTTTCAGTACTTACAGTACCGTCCGAAATTGTCAGTCCACCCATTTTCAAAGGAATGACAAAAATTTTTTAACATAAAATTCATGAAAAGTAAATTTTTTTTTGGTTTATATTTTGAAAGACGATAAAATTTTGAAAAGAATAAGACCTTACAGAAGTCATTTGGCCAAAATTTGTAGAAGATATTCCTAAAAATCGTCATTTTCAATGTTTTACAAAAATTTAAATAACTTCTAAAATAATGAACGCTTTTTAATAATCTTAGGCTTATTTTAAAGACCATTTTCTACAGAATAAGAATTACTTATAGGCATTAATCTGTCATTTTTAACTTGGAATAAGCATGACGTCAAAGTTGGACAAACAAATTCAAAAAATTTGAAATAATATTATTAAAAGAAAAATAATTTTTGAAATTCAAACATATATTTTTATTAAATTTTCTTGAAAAATCTACACCATATCATGTTTTATATATGTTCTAGAATAGTTTTTAGTACAAAAAATTGATTTCAAATTTTTCCAATTTTTTTGTCCAATTTTGACGTCATGCTTATTCCAAGTTAAAAATGACAGGTTAATGCCTATAAGTAATTCTTATTCCGTAGAAAAAGACCTTTAAAATAAGCCTAAGATTATTAAAAAGCGTTCATTATTTTAGAAGTTATTTAAATTTTTGTAAAACATTGAAAATGACGATTTTTAGGAATATCTTCTACAAATTTTGGCCAAATGACTTCTGTAAGGTCTTATTCTTTTCAAAATTTTATCGTCTTTCAAAATATAAACCAAAAAAAATTTTAGTTTTCATGAATTTTATGTTAAAAAATTTTTGTCATTCCTTTAAAAATGGGTGGACTGACAATTGCGGACGGTACTGTATTCTAGAGTAATTTCCAATAGAATAGATTGTTTAATTGTTTACAATAACTTGTAAACATTGCATTTTGTTTTAATATGCAGTGTGGGGCAGAATGGGGTACCTAAGTGTGGGGCATGCCGGATGCTACGCCGTTTCATTAAAACTATTTAAAAACATTATATTATGCATATTTAAAGGTTTCCTGCAGAAGAATCAATATTTTTGCTTTGAGGCATTTATACTATCGATGTTTCATTATCGATATATCGATATTTTGCAATATGTTAAATTCTAATAAATATTACTTGTTTTTTCATAGTAATAAAGAATCCTACTTTTTGTTTGTATTTATAATCTCATACAACAAGAATTGAATGAATTTTGAAAAAATACTCAATGTTTTGTATAGTTATTTGATGCCACCCCATTTTGCCCCACGGGTGGGGCAAAATGGGATTTTAGCACTTTCTTAGAAAATACGATATAAGTTCTTTCAAAAATTTTTTTCTCCGCTATAATCATAATTTCCTCAAAGCTAAGTGTACAAAGAAGAATTCTGAAGTTTAGCTGAATCGATTTATTCGTTTGGTTCTCTGTAAACAGCCAATTTCAAAAAGGTACCCCATTTTGCCCCACTCTCCCCTACTATTTTCATAAAATTTCGCAAAAGAAATTCAATTAATTTAGAATAACACTTTCAAAAATATTTCGATAAAATCAATTATTTAACAAAATTTTTCTACAATTCAATTTTTTTAAAAAAAGTTTTTAATAAAATTCTAAGCGAAAATTCAATTATTTTCATAAATATAATAAAACTCATCGAAGAATTTTAATTATTTTTAATACTATTTTAAATTAATTAATCAAAAAAATTCAATTATTTTCACAAATAAAGTTTCGCACAAGAATTCAATTTTTTTAAATAAAACTTTCATAATATTTATTATAGTTTGAAAAAATTAATTATTTAAAACAATGTCTATAAAATACTAATGAAAAATTCAATTATTTTCAAAAATAACAAAATTTTTCACATAAATTCAATTTCTTTTAAACATTTTAATAGAATTTTTCGCCTTAAATTCAATTATTTTCATAAATAACAAAAATTCTTCGCAGGATTTTAATTATTTTTGAAAATTTTAATAAAATTCTTAGCGACTATTCAATTATTTTCATAAATAATAAAATTTTCACAAGAATTAAATTAATTTAGAATAGTATTTTTAAAAAAAATTTGCTAAAATCAAGTATTTAACCAAATTTTTATACAATTCTTCACAATAATTAAATTACTTTCACTAATAATAACATTTTTCATTAAAATTTAATTTTTTAAAAAAAATTTCTGATAAAATTCTAAGCAAGAATTCAATTATTTTCATAAATAATGAAATTCATTGAAGAATTTCAATTATTTTTAATATTATTTTAAATTGATTAATTAAAAAATTCAATTATTTTCACAAATAAAGCTCTTCACAAGAATTCAATTATTCAAAATAGAATTTTTATAATATTTATTTCGAAAAAATTAATTATTTAAAACAATGTTTATAAAATTCTTCTGAAGAATTCAATTATTTTCAAAAATAACAAAAATTTTCAGCGAAATTCAACTCTTTTTAAACATTTTAATAAAATTTCTCGCAATAATTCAATTCTTTTCATAAATAATAAAATTCTTTTAAGGAATTCAATTATTTTTGAAAATTTTAATAAAATTCTTAGCAACTATTCAATTATTTTCATTATATAATAAAATTCATCGCAGGATTTTATTATTTTCAATACAATTTTACAGGAATTGCTACTTAAAAAATGTAATTATTCTTAAAAAATTAATTTCAATTCCTCAAAAAAAAATCAATTATTTAAATTAAATATTTTTTTAAAATTCTTTGGAAGAATTCAATTATTTACAAAAATATTAGCATTTTTCACAGGAATTCAATTATTTTCAAATATTTTATTAAAATTGTTCGAAAGAAATCAATTATTTTAAATACAATAATTTTAATTAAATTTTTTGAAAAAATTCAATTATTCTTTTAGATTTTAATGAAATTCTTCCCAAGAATTCAATTATGTCTATAAATAATTAAATTATTCCTGAAAATTCAATTATTTTCAGGCATTTTAATAAAATTCTTTGCAAAATTCAATTATTTTGATAAATAACAAAATTCATCACAAGAATTCAATTATTTTTAAAAGTAATAAATTTCTTCTTGAAAATTCAATTATTTTAAAATATTCTAATAAAACCGTTCGCAAGAATTCAATTATTTTCATAAATAATAAAATGCTTTTTAGGAATTCAATTATTTTTAAACAATTTAATAAAATGCGCACAGACATTCAATTATTTTCAAAAATTTTAATAGAATTCTTTGTAAAATTTAATTATTTTTTAAAACTTTTCGCAATTCAATTATTTTCAATGTCTACTATTTTGATAAAATATCCAAACAGAATTTAATTATTTAAAAAACTTTTTTGTAAAAATCTTCGTAAAAATTCAATTATTTTTATGAATAATAAAAATTTCTTAGGAATTGATTTATTTAAATTATATAGAATTTCCATAAAATTAGTCGAAATAAATGAATTATTTAAAAATTGTTATAAAATTCTTCGCAACAATTAAAATTATTTTTATAAATATTTAAATTCTTTAGTGAATAATAAAATTCGTTGCAGGAATTCAATTTATTAGCATCAGGATAAGAAAGAAGTAATTAAATTTTTGATGAAAATTAGGAAAAAGTCAGGAAAATAAAATATATAGAAGGAAATTTTCGTGAGTTTTGTGAAGTATCAAAAACGAGTTTCTTTGGTCGTCAAATTTATTTTTTCGATAGCTACTTTTTTCTTTAGTTTGAAAGCAACTTTTTGCTACTTTTTTAAAATTAATTATCGAGTGCGAAGTCTGTAAGGTTCTAAAAAACAAATCGAGAATCTTGACAAAAGCCTCAAGAACCAATCGAGAATCTAGACAAGATCTTTAATAAATAATTAATCGAGGATCTTGATGTCATGTCAGTAAAGGAAGCACTAGTAATTTTGCAATCATTTCCTTGGTGATATTGATTCGCTGAATTAATCTTGAAAGAATTAAAGATCTAAATCTATTTCTATATTAACTTATCTTCATGGATATTCTTTCGTTCATAATTTTAATATATTCAGTATAGGGAGACTCTGAGTTAGTGAATCATCAATAATTATAGTGATACATCAAATAAAAACAATTAGAAAAATTATAAATAAGTAGCGTCGAGAATTAAAATTCTGTTTAGCAAATTGAGACAAAAAATGTATCAAAATAGTTGCGAAGCAAAGTTTTGATACGTTTTTTGTCTCAATTTGGTAAACAGAATTTCCAGTACAAAAATAAAATCGAAAAAAATCAGAAAATAAATAGAATAACACTTGTAATTCTATTTATTTTCTGATTTTTTTTTGTACTCGAAATTCTGTTTACCAAATGAAAAATAATTTATTTTCAAAAACAGGTGCGAAATAGGGTCAATATTCGATCTCATAATTAAGATACAAATTCATTAAAAGATTTTTTTCCCTCAAGAATCTTTTTTCCCCCGCATATAATTAATGCAATAGTAAGCATTCTATCGCAAATTGTTATCAGAGATATATCTTCGATTTCTTCTCGTATTCCTATCTCAAATTAAAAGCGAGCAACATATAGCAATGTAATAAAGAAAAAGATCCAACAAAAACTGTCAAACTTGAAGAAACATGTCCGGTTCTCACGGGACTTGTTTTACTGCTGCCGCCGTTTTGCGACGATGCTGGTATTTATCGCTTGATTAAGAGCTTTTTTTTTCTTTTATTTAAGATGGGGTGAAAAGAAATAATAAGAAAAAAAAAATTCTTTAAAGCGGTAATTAAAGTCTCATATTAATGACATGAGACGGTCGCAAAATGCTTATTGCCCAAAACAGTGAAAAAAGAAAGTTGCACTTACTTATCACAGGAGCCCTCCAGGAGTCAGCATCCTTGCGGCTCGATCACAGATAACTGAAAGAATAATGACGTGCAATTATTAATAAAAACCCCTACTTGGCAATGGGGGCTATTAAAATTTATTAAATCGTCACTACAAACATTGTGTGAATGAGAGAGGAAAAAAAGTGCAATAAGAATTCATTACGTTTGTTTGTTGGTTAATTAATTTTTCTCACTTGCGCTTTTGACCGCCAACAAAAGGTGTAAATTTGAAGAAGAAAATTTCTCGAAAAATTTTCGATTTGGTTCATTTTTCATTTATTTTTTTTTTTTACTTAATTTCTCGATTTTATTAAATTATAAAAATTATTAAGTATTAATTTATATTTAGCAGTTTAATTATTTATTAAATTATTAAATTATTATCTAGGTATTTATTTTATTTACCCATTTTATTAATTTATAAAAATTGTTATTAATAAAAAATAAGAAAAAGAAAATTCTTCAAAAATCAATTTTTCAATTTTATTTATTTTCATTTTTTTATTTTATTCATCAGTTTTATTAATTATTAATTTATAAAAATTATTATTAATATTGGTATTTTAATATCATTTTTCAAAATAAAAATTAGTTTTTGCATAAATTATCATCTCTAGAAATTATCTTTTAATTAATTTTTCAAAATAATAATTAGTTTTTCCATAAATTATTTATCTTCTCTAGAAATTAACTTTTAATTAATTTTTCAAAATAATAATTAGTTTTCGCATAAATTATCTTCTCTCTAGAAATTAATTTTTATACTTGACAGATAGGTATACACTAAAATCATGTATAGAAATAATTTTTTGTTTTTAGAACAAAAAAATTATATTATTTTCTAAAAATGATCATTTCGGAACGTATGAGAAAATAAAAATTGTTGCTCAAAATATTAATTAAAAAAAAAAAACAATTTTTTTGTTCTAACAATAAAAAATTATTTCCATACACGATTTTTTAAGTTGCCAAGTAAATAAATTAATTTCTACAGAAGATAATTTATGCAGAAAATAATCATCTTTTGTAATTAGTTTAAGGAAACAAGAAAAACTTGGATGTTTAACAATTTAATGCTACGCACTTATATTTACAGCTAATAATATTTCACAAAATAATATGATTACTTTAACCAGTTTTAGCATGCGTGTACTGAGATTTAAATTAACATATGTATAATAATAAGAGGAGAAGAAGAAAAAGAAAATTTAAAAGGATTTTTATTTTTTAGCTCGCAATAAAAACTAATTATATTGTTAGTTAATAATTACAATATTATTAATTCGTCAAAAAATATTTCGCATCTTTTTCTTCTGGAAAATTCAATTAAAATAAAAATTTTAATCAAATAATAGAAAGTGAAATTAAAATGAAAAAAAATGCTTCTCTTTTCCTTTTAAAAACTTTTATGAAAATAAAAATTAGAAAAAAGTTATTAAGAATTTTTAATTAAATTTAAAAAAAAAAGTAAAAATGAAAAAAAAATTTTGTCAATCACAATTTTTCGTCAATGAAGAGTTATAATTATAAATATTATTATAAATGTTAATATAAAATAAATTTCATTCCATGTCATTAAATTTAATGAAAAATCTAAAGTAATTAAAAAATGTAATGAAAAAAATATAATCCATTTAATGTTTAATATATTCATTACTGGATTCTTAAATATATTTTTAACGTATACATAAAAAAGATGTATTTTCAAAGATCAAAATCTTAATTCTGTAAAATATACGTTCGCGATATTCTACATTTTTGTTTCGAAAAAAAATTTCTGAAGTCATCAATGGCAGAGATATTTTAAACATACATCATCCAACAACTGTACATAATGAATATTCATTTCTCATTTTTGTCACCCTTTGGATATTCATTTATTACTCATACTAATATGGTCAGCATAAGCAACAGGTGGTGTTTCAGATTTTTTTTTCATGTTATTTGATTGTAATTAATTTGTTCTTATTGCTTTATTTTTCTTTAATTTCTGTCATGAATAATTTATTCATTCTGGAAATTAACAATAAAAAGAAAAATCAAGCCAACGAAGGTAAAATAATTGATGTACTAATAAAAGTTTAACAAGCAAAAAATTTCATGTCCAACAGGTATTATTTTAGAGGGAGAATTTTTTTGTATTAACATATATATATATATAATAATTCACTTCCTTTTCTTTAATAAATAATAATTTTTTCTATTATTAGGTAATTAATAATTCAATAAAAAAATTTGAACAATTAATTAATTAATTATCTTTAGTATTATAATTAAGAATTATACAATTTAATAAATAATAGTTAACCAACAATTTTTTTAGCAATACATAATTTTTTTAGCAATAAGTAATTATTTATTAACTAATAATGAATTATTTATTAACTACTATTGAATTATTTAAGGAATTATTAATTAATTAACTATAAGTTTATTAATAATTCGTTGTATTGTAATAGAGATTATTTGCAGGTTAATAAATAATTATTTACTAAGTAACAATTAATTATTTACTTATTTATACTTTATTAATTAAGAAATTAATTAAATATAATTAAATATTAACTAATTAATTATTTGCAGTATTATAATAGAGAATTTTTGAAATTTAATATATATTTAATTATTTATCAAGAGATAATTAATTACTCAATGCTATATAATAATCGTAAATTTTAAGTAATAAATATTAATTAATTATTACTTATTAAATGATTAATTCATAATCGTTACTTATTTAATTTTTATTTCATAATGGTTATTTATTAAATAATAAATTCATAATTATTAAATTATTAGTTAATATTTATTTATTAACATTAATATTATTAATATTATTAATATTATTTATTAATAATTATTTATTCTCCATTAAAATACTGCGGATTATTCATTAACTAAGATTTGAAATTTCATTATTTAATTAATTATTATTAAATTAAATATTTAAAATAATTATTTATTTGTAAATTCAGAAGATTTTTTAAAAACTAATTTGATTTGTAAATAATTAATTCACCACAGTTCTACATAAAAATGAGTTTTTTTTTTGTCTAAATAAATAAATAATGATATCATAATTATTTATTAATTTAAAATTTGTAATAAAAAATTTATTATTAATAACAATTATTAAACATCTCTTATTTTTAAAATCAATTATTTATTTAATAAATAATAAGCGATGTTGAAAAATAAATTGTTAATAAAATTTTATGCAAATCAAATGAATTTTAATAAAAAAAAATTATTTGAACCAATAATTTCCGTACTTGAAGCAATTTAATTGATTTGATTAATTTTTATTATTTAATTTATTTAAATGAAAACTATTTGATTTAAGTAAATATTTAGTTGACAATAGACAACTAATAATTGTTTATTAGAATCAAATAAATTTTTTTTCAGTGCAGTAATAATAAAATAATTTTTTTTTAATTGCCTAATAGATTAATTTTTAAAAATTAATTTGATTTGTAAATAATTAATTCACCACAGTTCTATATAATAATGAGGTTGTTTTTTGTCTAAATAAACAAATACTGATATAATAATTATTTATTTATTTAAAATTTGTAATAAAAAAATTAATTATTAATAACAATTATTAAAAATCTCTTATTTTCAAAATCAATTATTTATTTAATAAATAATAAGCAATGTTGACAAATAAATTGTGAATAAAATTTTTTCAAATCAAAAGAATTTAAAAAAAAAATTATTTATGAACCAATAATTTCCGTACTTGAAGCAATTTAATTGATTTGATTAATTTTTATTATTTAATTTATTTAAATGAAAACTATTTGATTTAAGTAAATATTTAGTTGACAAAAGACAAGTAATAATTGGTTATTAGAATCGAATAAATTTTTTTTTCAGTGCAGCAGTAATAGAATAATTTTTTTTAAATTGTATAGATTAATTAAAAGCAAAATAATTCTTGAAATTTGTCGATAATTTCCATTAATTAATTAGTGAAACAGTTACTAAATATTGACAATCATTATTTAGTGTTGAATTGTTATTAAAATTGTCAATAAAATGAAAAAGATTCCGTAAGATAAAATAAAATGATAAAATGCAAATTTAAATTAATTAATAAAATAATATTAATTAATAAAAATAATAAATAGTAATAGTTAGTAAAATGATGATAATTATTAAAATAGTGAAAAGGGATAAAATTATAATTATTAAAATAGTAAAAATTAATAAAATCATAATATTTATCAAAATAGTAAAAGTTGATAAAATGATAATTAAAATAATAATTAAAATAGTAAAATTTAATAAAATGATAATAATTAAAATAGTAAAAGTTAATAAAATGATAATAATTAACAAAATTAATAACTTAAATTCTAAAAACGACAAAGGAAGAAGGTTGGGAAGATGATTTGTTTTTGAAAAACATAAAACAAGTTATTTTGTAATGAAAATTGATAATATTTTATTATAACATATTCTTCTTTTTAGAGAAATAAATCAAGAGAAAATTTCAATATCTCAAGAGACAATTATATATCATATATATATATAATAATAATAATAAAACACTATTAGCATAGAATGAGTTTTCTCAACAAATGTAACAAGAAAAAACGAACTTTCTCAAATTTTTTTTAAATTATACAGTATAAAAACAATATTTTTTTTTCTTTCCATCAAAAAAGTATGAGAAAATCATATATATAATTATATAACATCAGGTACAACAACAAAGATTCCCTATCACAGACATCACTTAAAGCTTCATCACTCTTTCCTCCTTCATCAAATATTATAACAACAATTGCAGATAAAAAAAAATTACACAATGTTATTAAAGAGAAAAGTTTTGAAGAAAAAAATTCTTCTTTTTTTTCACATATAATATGGAAGACTCGTTTAAACTGCGTGCTCCTCTACTGTCACATCTCTCCGACGGCATTCGTTTACCACGAAGTAGATTTTTCAAGAAAAATGTAGAACCAAATTTTGCAACATCCCTATTGCAAACTGGAGAAAATTCCTCTTCACCATGGTCGCCAAACAGATGATGATGATAATTCCGAATCACCCGATTGGCTCATCTCACTCATTGGACTTTGTGGTGGTGTGTAAATTTGTGGCATATTTACAATGATTTTTGTTGTTGGTGATGCTGTAACTGTTGTTGTTGCTGTTGTACCTTGTTGATGATCCTTGACAGTTGGTCCCTCCAAACGTCGAAGACAACCGCCAAGATGTCTCATGAGTTGTGCACCAGCAGCAGGATGAACAGCGGCAGCAACGGGTGTTGATAAAAATGTTGACACCTCTTGTGCACACTGCGTGAAACCGTCACGAAAACGATTTGCATAACTATTCTCTGGTGTTAATGTCAAACGACGTGCTGCTCTCAATGTATGAAGATGTCGCACTGTCAATTCGAGAATATCAGCTTTCTCCAATTTTGCGACATTCTCACCCTCGGCTTGTAGTGCTGTGACCATCAAATCCTTTAATTCGTCCAAACAACGATTGATTCTTGCTCTACGTTTACGCTCCAACATTGGTTTCATCACTTTTCTGTATTGATAGGTCCTCGACACTGGCTCCTCGTACTCCATACCACCGACAGCAGTGTAACTCGTGTGTGGTGCCATTTCTGTTATTATTCACAAAAGAAAACAAAACACTGTTTTCTTAAAAATCCGTTTAAAGTTTGAACACTTGTTTCAAAACTGTTTAGAATTGTTTCAAACTGTTTACGATTGTTGTAAACTTGAATGTCTTAAACACTGTTCCGAAAACAAACACTTCGATAATTTTTAAGAAGAGAGAACTTTGCGCCGAGATCGGAACTGTTTGAGTTGTGAATGGTTTCTGAATGTCAGTGGGGAGCGATGGGGAATATATAGGCGGTGGTTGGTTTGCGTCCCCACTAGTTGGGCGAATGTGGTGATGGTGGGGATATGTGTATTGGACCCAGAAGGATGAGTGATGGGGGAGGGTAGAGGGGTAGAGTGCTGCTGCTGCTGCTGTTGCTATTGAAGGCAACCACCAGGCCGGAGAGCGTATCGTGGGAAGCTCGCGGGCCAGAACGTTCCCACAGCGCCTAAGGCAGCCCTCTGCGGGGCCCGAGGTTGTGAGGGGTCAGGAGAAGTAAGGGAATTTTCGAAGGCATTGAGAGCGACCGACACACCTGCACCCTTCTTGTGGCACCATGTTATACTATACACACATATATAATAATATCGGGCCACGTCATTGCCTAACACGCCGGGGGACGATGAGTTGAGGAGCTTTTTATTTTTTTTTCTCTCTCTCTGTGAAAGGTGACGCGCGACCAGCACGAGAATGCCTCGCGCGCCTTCTATAACTTTGTCCTTTATATTGTTCATCTTCCTTGATTTTTATTTTGGAAAATTCTGATCTAAAAGATGAAGAAAAAAGAACAAAAGATTAAGAACTACGTTCTTAATCCTTTTGTTCTTTTTTCATTTTCTTTTGGTTCTTCTCCTTTACATCATAATTTTTGTTATGCTTCTGCTGAAAAGTGACGAAAAAACAGATGATTTTCTACTTCTTCATCATCTTCTTCTCCTTCTTGGTTTTTGAAAAAAAAAATTTTCTGTTGTTTCTGCTGGAAAGTATGTTGAGAAACAACTGATCTTCCTCATCATCATCATCTTCTTATTCTACTTCTTTAAATCATAATTTTTCTGATGTTTCTGCTAATCTTTCTGCCGAAACAACAACTGATCTTCTTTTTCTTTTCCTTCTTCTTCTTCATCTTCTGTAAATGACAATTTTTCTGATGTTTCTACTGAAAAGTGACAAAAAGACTAATGGATTTTCTTCTTCATCATCTTCTTCTCTTTCTTGTTTATTAAATAAAAATTTTTCTGTTGTTTCTGCTGAAAAATGCCTAAATACAACTGATATTTTCCTCATCTTCTTCTCCTTTTTTAAATCACAAAGTTTTGATGTTTCTGCTAATTTTTATGTTGAAACAACAGCTGATCTTCTTTTCCTTCTTTCTTCTTCTTCATCTTCTGTAAATCATAATTTTTTCTATGTTTCTGCTGAAAAGTGCCAAAAATACAATGGATCTTCTTCTTCATCATCTTCTTCTCCTTCTTGTTCATTAAATAAAAATTTTTCTGTTGCTTCTGCTAAACAGTTCCGAAAAACAGCTGATCTTCTTCTTCACCTTCTTCTCCTTCTTTAAACCACAATTTTTTCTGATTTTTCTGTCCTAAAAACCGATGATCTTCATTTTCTTTTCCTTTTTTTCATGTTCTTTAAATAACAAATTTTCTAATGTTTCTGCTGAAAAAAATACCAAAAACTACTACTAAATTTGAAAAAGATAATAAATTTTGTTCATTCGAACGAAACTTTTGCTCAATTCTTATCTAAAAAAAAATAATCTGAAACAATTTACATGCGAATTTAATAATTTTACTTATTCATTTACTAATTTTACTAGTGAGGCGAAGCCTCCCTAGTAAAATTAGTAAATAAATAACAATAGAATAATTAAATAAATAAAATTACTGGTAATAAAATTAATTTGAGAAGAAATGAAAAAAAAATAAAAATTCAAAGAATAATTTCAGAAAAGTAGTTTTTTTCGACTACAGAAGAAAAAAATATATTGAAAATGATGACACTCGCGATGAAATGAAAGCTGTCGTTTCCACTCACCGGCGCACGCGACTTAATGACGCGAATGATATTTCTGCGGATATAAATATATATAGGCAGCAAGTTGATCGCACGAGCTACTGGCCAGATCAAATCGCGATAGCTCATGTTTTACCATTAACCTTATCTACACACACTTATCTCCAACGTTGATCTTTCCAGTCATCAGCAAACTTAACACATTAAATTTTAATCATTTTTCCAAAATTAATTCAAAATTCCGGCGTTAATTCAAAAAAATGACTCAAAAAATAATTATTTATTCAAATAAAATTATATTTACTTCAAATAAAATGTTTCTCTGGGTATAATTATACAGTTATTTTTCAATTTTTTTCATTCAATTAAAAAAAAAATAAATTTTATACCGAAAATTAATTCCAAGCATTAATTAAATATTTTCTTTAAGAAAACAATTACGAATACAATAATTGAAAGTGTACGATGTAAAAAACGAGAGAAAATTTTTAAGCGACATTTATTATATACTAAACAGAGAGAAAAAATAAATAAGTGGACAATAAAAAAGATGTCTCTTCATTTTTATAATACTATAGATTTTTTCTTTTTTCTTGGTCCAGAAGAATTTGAAAGTCGAAAGATTTACAGCAACGCAGTCAAGTTTCAGAGAACACGAACTTTTGTGAGTTTTATGCGATTTTTTACGATCATTCTAGTTTTGAAAATACAGTATTGGTCCTGAGAATTTATTAGTTGAAACAAAAATCAGATAAAAATCTACCAATTAACTTACGACCTACCCTGTGTTTATATAGTTTTTTCAAAAAAAAGAAGAAGAACAGAAGAAAGCAACGTACCATATAACGACATTCATTAAATTGTCCCCATGAAATTAACACTCGAAGATTATAAATTAAAGTCGGACATTTTTTTATTACTCAAAAATAAAAAGTCTGAAAAAAAACAATTTGGCAAATTTTATATTTGTTTTAATTTATCTTTTCTATTTTTCAATAAAGTATAATTAATTAAATAATTAAATTATAATGAAGTAGAGAGCTTTTTATTTTTCTTTTCAGTTTATTTATTTTATTTTTCTTTCTATCAAAATATTAAATAAAATTTTATTCTATTAATAAATAAAATAAATATTAAAAAATAGAAAAGTAGAATTAATTATTTTTTCAATTCTAACAATTAATGTCAGTTGTAAAAAATTATTTAATCTATAATTAAATGCAGTATAGTAATAATAGTCACATAAACAGGAAATTGGTAAAAATGATTTTCAAGTTTGACTTTAAATGGTGAAATATATTAGAAGAGTAAATAATGTGAAGAATATGGAGAAAGCCACAAGCAGAGAGGATGAGAAAAAGTGTTTGGTCATTTCTCTCTATTCTTCTCTTTAAGGATGGAATTAACAAAAGTTTTGCATTTTGACTTTAAAAGGTCGTAAATAACATTTTGGACCAACGAACGCAGGTCCATTGTGTGGTATTGGACGCTAAGAAAACCAAATATCTTGTTGGGCAAAACTTGAATAATCATTGTATATAGGTTTCACTAAATCTTAAACAAAAGAAAACAAAAAAAAAAGAAAAGAAAAAGAAAAAAAGAGGAAGAAGAAGAAAAACAAATATTGTCTAGACAACCTGTGGAATTATTAACGTTTTTTTTCCAAAATCATTTCTTTGCTTTGTAAAATCATTTACACTTGAAAGGAAAGTTTCGAAATATTTTTTTTCCACTCTCAAAAAGAGTTGGGAAAAAATATTTTACAAATAAATGTTTTATTTAAATTAAAGAGACTTTCTATTTTATGTTGAATAAAAATTTGGTATTTGTTTGTTTTGGAGCTTTGTTTGAACTGTTTATTTGTTACAAATAAAAATGTTATTTGTCTTAAAAAAAATGTATTTGTTTTTAGAAAAAATTTATTTGTTTTTAAAAAAAATTTATTTGTTTCAAATAAATATTTTTTTGGTGTAAATAAAATCTTTACGTGAATCAAATTATATTTCTTTGATTTAAATGAAAATTTCTTTCCGTCAAATAAAATCTTCATACGAACCAAAAGTAAAATTTATTTAAATAAAAAATTTTTTAGGCAAATAAAATTTTTTAAAGGTTTTTTGGTGTAAATAAAATATTGAATTAAATAAAAATTTCTTTCGGCCAAATAAGTGTTCTTAGAGTCAGATAAAAATTTTTTCAGACAAATGAAATTCATTCGAGTCAAATAAAATTTCATTTACGCACATAAATTATTTTTTAGTCAAATAAAACTTCTTTTACGCAAATAAAATTTTTTTGAATCAAATAAAATATACTGTGTTGAGTCAAATAAAACATCATTCAGTCAAATAAAAAATCTCTGAGTCAAATAAAATTTATTCGACTAGAATAAAATATCTTTGAGTCAAATAAAAATTTCTTGCACTTAAAGAAAATATTTTTGAGTCAAATAAAGTATCTTTGAGTCAAATAAAGTATCTTGAGTTCAAATAAAATATCTTTAAATCAAATAAAATATCATTCAGTCAAATATAAAATGTCTATGAACCAAATAAAATATCATTCAGTCAAGTATAAAATGTCTATGAACCAAATAAAAATTTCTTGCACTTAAAGAAAATATTTTTGAGTCAAATAAAATATCTTCGAATCAAATAAAATATCTTTGAGCCAAATAAAATATCTTTGAGTCAAATAAAACATTTTTGAGTAAAATAAAATATTTTTGAGTCAAATAAAATATTTTTGAGACAAATAAACTATCTTCAAATCAAATAAAATATTTCTGAGTCAAATAAAATATTTTTGAGTTGAATAAAATATCTTTGAGCCAGAAAAAATATCTTCGAGTCAAATAAAATATCCCTGAGTCAAATAAAATTAACTTACAACAAAAAACCTTCTTATATTCTACCCAAAAACATGCAATTCACTCAAAAACTATATAATAACAAAAAAAAAATTACAACTTTTTTCCACAAACAATGGTTGCAATTTACAAAAGCAATATCCGACTATAGATAATAAAACAGAGAAAAATTTAAAATCATTAAAAAGAGAGAAAAAAAACCTCCACATATAATGGAGCGGTTATGTAAAGAGGAATAATTTTTTTTTCTTCCTTCGCACGCAGTGAAAACAAAATGTTGTCTAGGAGAGTTAGGCGAAAAAAAAAAACTCTTTTTCATAGATCGACAAAA